TGATAGGCAACTTACATCGGTGATCAGCCCTTACTACAGGCTAGCCACACACTGCTCGGAAGCTATAAACTTACCAACAAGTAACCGCCGAGGAGGCTATGGCTTTGGTCTGCCAAAAACCTATCTAAAAGGACAGACCATGATCACATCCTAAACAAACAAAAAAATATATAATTACTCGTTAGCTATCCTAACTAATTAGGGAACCTGACTAAACCCTAACACTTTATTTTATCGACCCTAAACTGGCTGAACGACCCTAATAAAAATTCTAAACATCACTACAAGTTCCTAACTATCTCAGCCTAAGCTATCTCCAACGTGGATGCTGCTACAACGACGACACAGGCTTGAACATCCATCGGACGATCACTGGGTTACATCACTATTGATCTCCCAGCTGCCTTAGTCCTCATTTTGCAGCTATCACGTTCCATCAGCTTCACTTGCTATCTTTAACCAAACAAAAGCCAACCCACATACAACGTCAACAACACATTCTAACTACATATTCCAAGACATATATGGTATGAGGGTATACCACATGAAGAATTTCTAATAATTAAATAAATATATTTTCCCCGAATGCAGACAGTTGTTGTTCATCTTGAAGAGTGAGCTCGAACTATGCACATATACTGGATAATATATCTATCAAATTAAAACAAGGGAAAAAGGAAAATTAAGTTAAATCTTTCTACGATATTCCATCTGACAAGGACATCTGACAATCATCAAACAAGGGAAAAAGGAAAATTAAGTTAAATCTTTCTACGATATTCCATCATCATCCTCCCGTCATTCCAAGTCTGCATTGCCGGAAAATATTAATTTTTCTTAAAATATTCCTCATAACGCCAATGTGGTTCCACATGAAAAATAAATATAAAAATTTAATTAACCTAGTAGAAACAAACACATTAAATTATCTCCTAAAGAACTTTTTCATCCTATTCACATGGAGTAGATTCTGCCTACCCAACCTTTTCCTATTCATACTTAATCTGCACATAATACAATTATTCCTACTAAACCAAATCACTACCCTAAGCTTCGCGTAACATACCTCTTTTTATATATCAAGGCAATCCTGTCTTTCTTATCAAATAACCGCTTCCGTCGCGATTGTAAACTATCTATACATTCTTTATGTGGATCGATCGAAGTTGCCCGCTTTATAAATTCACTTTGTAAATTCTCCATATTATTTACGCGAACACGTTTAAGAATGTCACTTTCCGACTTACGTTTTATACTTACTTTCGGCGAAGCATATTTATAATTATTTTCATTGAAATCATAAACTTGACGTAATTGACACGTCTTATCACTCACGTCAACATCACTTATCATCTCTGGCAAAACCGAAAAGCTATCTAAACTTTTTGATATCGGTTTCAAAGGAGACTTTCCTTTCTTTGGTCCAATATCTATCATGGACTTAGAAGAAGAAATTTTATTGTCAATTTCCACTTTTAACAACTCGTAATTACACTTTTCCAAAACATCTCGACCCAGAACCAAATATTTTTCAAGATCGTCTACAACCAGCAACTTCGAAGGATATTCCCTTCCATTAATCATTAACGACACTTTGGTGGACGACTGCACATTTATTGGCGTTGCACCCACTGTACGTAATGGAAAACTTGGACTATCATCGATACGTAAATGTAACTTTTCCGCAAAATACCGAGAAATTACTGAAATTGAAGCATTAGTATCCACCAACGCCTCGCAACATACATCATTAATAAAAACAGATATAAAAGGTGCCCTATCTACACTAGACCTATCAATTGTAGACAAATTTTCTACATGTTCAGTTGCGCTTTTCTGACAATCACGTTGAGGAGATCCCGACGAAGATCCACTACTATGTGCTCGTGAATACCCTTGACTCGGCGTATCCTGATGCACAATTGGTGCTCGTGGCACTAAATACTCCGACTGTTTAGACTCGGGTCTAATTATCGGTGCAGAGACATCCTGTGTTTGCCAACAGCAAGAATTCTCCATTTGACAGTTTACTGGCAATACAATATCTTGTCTCACATTATAGCTGTGATTAAATACATCATCTACTTGAATAATTGTTTTCCTCAACTCCTCTTTAGATAAATATAAATTACTAGCCAGCATCCATTTAAAATTGGGTAACAAAGACTTCAAGAAATGCTTAACAAACTGAACATCTTGAATATTCGCTTTCATCGCTAATTCATCTAAACTATAAAAATAACTTATCAGCGATTCATTAGGCTCCTGTCGCCTATAATAAAATTCTCGTGCGTAATCTATTTGTGAGGGAAATTCCTCTCTCAGCTTCTGTGCCACCACGTCATACGTCATGTATGAAGAAAAATACGTTCTGTACCATTGTAGAGCTGGCCCCTCCAAATACAATGCAAACACGTATTTCTTCTGCACATCAGACCAATTATTTAATATACTAATGGTCTCAAATTGGTTCAAAAACTCATCTACGTCGTTGAACCCATTAAACTTTTGTGCCGACATACTATATATATTTTTCTCCTCGCACTTTTCTCTGGCACCAAATATAAATCAATATTAAATAAGTAAAAAAATATAAATTACGACCTTTGTTACGTTTTCGTTGTGGTTGTGTCGTAAAAACATATAAAAATATTTTCCAACGGAGTTCTCTTCATTGGAACTTTTTCATCATTCGCAACACAAGCTTTTGTGTTGTGTTGTGTTCTTCATCACCATCATATTGGGATCCGTGCCTCCACCATTTATAATAGAGTCCGCGCCTCCACCATTTATAATAGAGGGCTGTAGCTCAGATGCATTGCGAGAGGTACTTTTAATAATATAAAACCGGGATCATCTTAAAACTTTGGTTTATTTTACCAATTTACATGTTTAGGGTTACAAATCAATAATCTTACTATGTATGTCAAGATCTTCTGTTTTCTTAACCTTCTTTTTCAAAGCATTCTAAATACAAACTAACTCATTCAGCCAGCAATTCTACTCATAGAGTACAGCCTCGTCTACAGTACGTACCCACTTTGCTTTAAGCACGTATAGAAGCACAACTATAGTCTTTCCTTTTTGAAGACGGAGTAAAATGACATTTGAAGGGTTGCTAGTTTTCATAGAATTTTAAATAGTTCTGTAGATGTTGTCGATAGTTTTATCGATAGATTGTGAAAGACGATAAAATTTTGCCATAAATGACTAAATTGTGAATGTTACGACGTTCTAATTATTATTAATCGCGTTATTGCATTCTTTATTCTTATTTCCACAGTTGGCCTTCTAGTATCGAGGTCAATTTTTATACATTTTAAAAGCCGGTTAGGATAATCAAAATTATCCTAATGAAAAACTAAAATGTCTCCTCTTTGTATTTTAAACATAGTTCTAATCCAGCGTATATGTACGTATGAATATATAAATATAGACAATTCAAATGATATTGTGCTCAGTAATTGGATGAATAATGGATCCAAGATGATTCAAACGCAACAAGTTCGGCTATTTATTCCATAAGCGTGACCAGTATTCAGTCGATAATCGATAGAATATTTATCTACTGCAATCACTAGCTGCTCGCAAGCGAGCAACACTTTCGCGCAATGAACTGTCATTTTATTCCATCTTCAAAAAAGAAAGACTATACAATATTATTTTTGAAACAATAATTTGTAACAAATACTTAATAAGGAAATAATTATTTCTCGCCAATATACTCCAATTTCAATAATTAGTACGCATATTGAAATATAATCAATTACGAGAAGTCCCGGGATTTGTAGAAGGGAATGTCCACGTTCTTCTTTAGTTTAGCTAAATTAACTTCTTCAATTCCGATCACTGCTTATGAATAGCACAAGTTGTAGAGTCTTTAGCAATAGAGGCTCCACCATCGTCGACAAGTTGTTGAAGTGTTTACCTACAAAGCCTCTATCATCTACTTATTGTATGTTCCACTACTGGTCTGAGGCGTTTAAACCATAATCCCTCTCTCATCGACTATATAAGAGACGAAATGTCATTCAGTTTGTTTGAAAACTGTTCTGCCTAATCATTACGGTGACAACTGCGCTCCGATTGGCCAGCCCGAATTCTAAATAATTGACATGTGTCGTCAATAGTTTCACTTCAAATCGACCAGTTTAACTTGAGCTTTGCTGTAATATACGAAAATTTGAAAATTACTTATTTAATTACCAATGAAATGTGATTCCGTTTGTTTTGTAATTAGATGTTTTGCTGTTTTTCCCACACCACCGAATGGAACAGCCTACCATAGTTAGAGATATTATCTTTGTTACAATAAATACAGAATATTTTTTGGAATATATGGAGACGTCAATCGTTGACGCTGTACAGCTTTGTAATTTGTGATTTCAGCGCAAACGAGAGTTTATATTTTAAAAGTGATATGAGGGCCATTTGCCTGATGAGATGCTAGGGATAGATGGCCCTTATTTCGTCTCTATTTCTGGTTATATACTCGATGCCCTCACTCTATTTCATTACTAGTTTTTGTAGACATCACACGCTTTCCAAGGGTTGTTAACTTCTTCGATATGCAATTTCATTATGATATTTTCTTTCGTTAGCGAGAGGCATTACTACTACATATTACAAATAGAGGCTAGACTATCAGGAAAGGGGCTGAATTACTCGTTGCACTTTCCAATCGCTCATTGCACTATTAAAATATAGTATTTAGTTAATTAGCGACGATCTCCGTGGTCGAGTGGCTTGCACACCGGTTTTCATGGTGTCACCATCTATGGTCCCGGGTTCGATTCCCGACCGGGTCACAATTTTATTATTAGATTAGTTAGAGGAGACCATTCCCAACAACGGTACATGTCCTTTTGCCACGAATGGAAGTAACTTACATTTTTTGAAAAGTTTATTGACATAAAACGAGTTTTGATGTAAATTATTCATAAGCATATGGTGTATGGGGTTAACTAACAAGCTCAATAAACGCGTTTAAATTTGCAGGTGAATTCGACGAACGCGTCGCTGACTGGTGCGTCTGCCATGACGGCCACGGCCTACCCTTCCAGCGTCACGCTCACGCAGTACCAGCCCATGATCAACTCCTACCAGGTGAGCTTTAGTCTCTTCATTCGATTAAACTGGAAACCTGAAAAATATTTCACCGAAAGCAGCTCATGCGGTTACATGACGGAAGGTAGGTAAGCAACCAACTTGATTGCTGGCGTTGTTCCCAGCAGACGTCGTCGTCAGCGACGGTGTACGGTGGCAGCGCGCTATACACGGCCGCGCCCTACACCGCCTACCAACCCACGCCGCAGCCCAAGATACAGAACAAAGAGACTGCACAGGTGTGTAGGGCTTAAATATTCACTACGCTTTACAATTAGACAGGTTTGTCAAAAGCATTTCGTGATGAAGCTTTTCCAACCTCTGTTTCATTTCTGGAGTTCATAAAACATGGTCAAGTAATGAATGCACTTCCAAAAAGTGCTTGGTTTGTAACAATGTCTTTTGGGAGATGGCAGAGTCCGTTAACGATAGAACGAGAATCCGAAAGGCAGAAGATAGAAGATTGATATAGGAGGTAGAGCTAGAAGGTTACCCTTGCTCTGTAGTAATGAGGCGTATAACAACTTGGGGATTTTGGCTTGAAAACGATAAATGATAATGATAAATGTTTTTTATTGTTACAGTATGATAATTCAGTAGCTTCTAGCAACAGTTTAACGAGCACGTCCACGACACAAACGTCCACTGCCAAAGTAGCCACCACCACAGGTGAGATTTTTATTATTTAGTATGAAATGCAATATAATTTATTGTTTGTAAAATATAAACCGAGATTGGGGTAGGCGTCGATGAAAAAAAAAACAGTGAAAAAATTGGTGTTTATATTCGTTTTTAAAGTTGTCTTCAGTTGCTTGTCAGTGAATTTGAAGTGTGAAAGTGCTGCATATTATCGGAAGGTAAATAAAAAAATAACTCAAAACCTTGGGCTTGTGAATCCCTCGTGTCCACTGAGTCCGACCAGCTGCACCCTGAAAGACCTGTTAAGACTTCAGATGGAGGCAGAGAGGTGGTTGCTTGCTGGGCCAAAGGAAATTAATACAATGTTTATAAACCTGTAACTACTGATAATGATTAGTGTGTTTTTATTATCGATACTTTTTTATACATAAATATCAAGTGACGTGACGAGCAAGTCGTGCCTGGTGGTGGTAAGCGACACTCCTGTCCATAACAGTTACAGTGCCACTCAGAGTTTTGAATTTGACGATCCGAGGGGTACTGGCACTACCCCCGTCACTCCGAGACATAAGTTGACAAGTACCCTGTGCCTGTGCCTGTGGTTTGAGCAAAATACTAAGCTGACGAGATGAGAAGCGGGAGGTGCAAGGTCGTCGTAACACGAACTGTGTCGTGCGCAGCGGCGGGCGCGGGCGCCGGCGCGGGCGCGGGCGCGGCGGCGTCCACGGGCTACGCGGCGGGCGCGCTGTACTCGGCCGGCGGCAGCACGGCCTACGCCTACGACGAGGCGCAGCTCATGCGTTCCACGCTGCCACACCACATGGTCAGTACTCCGGTGGAAAGGTCGGAACGGACGGCTCCGATGTCTAGTCAATACCTTTTTAGTAATTCTCACTTTTGCCCGCTGACTATTCGTCTGTAATTCTAAGGTCAAGATCTATAATATTACTAATTTAGTTCTAGGGTTAATGTCCATAATATTAACCTTAGAACTAAGTCCAAACTCATGGTACCACGATTTCGGTTAACTAAGGTAAACGATTCTTTTACGGGGAACTGTATACGTTTTTAAAACATTTTCTGGAGAATATATTATCATTTCCTAAGTTTCAAACTTCGTTAAAAGTGTTTTAATTGAAAAGTCATATTACAAAATTGATGAGTATGTTTTAGATAAAGAAGTATGGAAAGAGAACTTTTATTTAATTTTATTTGAAAAAAGCAATTCCTCGAGTTTCGTGCTCTTTCTTCTCAGGGAGGTCAGCGTAGTGAACGAGCAGTAGCTTAAAAAATGACGTTTTCAAGTGTAAAAATGTTACCTATGGAATATTGATTGATTGTTATTTCACTTTGACTATCATGTTAGTAATTAAAATAATACAATTCTAATTATTAGATTTTTAAATCGGGACTTAATCGTGTATAAAAACATTTTATTTGACGTTTATGGTCCGCGTCTGAAGTCCCTTCGAGACCATGGACGTTGCAATTCATCTGAAACGTTGAGATAAATAAAATATGTATTTATATACAATAAAGTCCCGAATACAAAATCAAATAATGTGTGAAAGTTCTTTGTATTGCATAAAAACCAACATTATCTGGATTCCACGTTGAAGTACTTTTGATTGAACCTGAAAGGACCACGCCCATTTTGGATTCGCATCTTTTAAAGTCGAGGCCGGTTGAAAATTCATATCTATCTAAAAATACATTTCATTCGTATTACTTTGAGATTAGTTGCGACAAAAATATATAAAATTTATAATTAAAAACGCTGCACAACTTACATTATTGACATTTTGTTTTAAGTCCCGTTTACATTAGCTATGGTCTCTCCAATATAGAGCCAATTGTTTTATTACTTATGTACTCAGTTTTTGACTTTTACTACGACAACCGATAATCATCATTATTCTTGACGTGAATTAGGCTATCATCTTGAAAGTTTTCAGAAATCGTTTTAACTGCCTCAATATTGGAGAAATTATGATCAGTGTAAACGAGCCTTAAAATGAAATGTCAAACTCCTAAGTTGTCCTGCATTCAAAAACAAATATTTGCAACCCAGTCAGGATTTTTTAAACAATCTTTCTCGCACCTTTTATGTCTTGATTCGTCCGTCATAGTGAAAATCTAAGTACAAGTGTTACTGTGTCCCCAACTGTATAAGATAACATGAGTATTACGTAATTTTTAATATACTGGCCGAACGGTTACCATGTCGGACTACCACGCAGAGGTCTCAGGTTCGATTCCCGGGCCGGGAGAAATGTTTCTATGACCTACATTTATTTCTCTCCTGAGTTTGGGTGTAATTTGTGGTTGTCTATGTTGAGTGTGTGCGTTGTTATTACTGTTATAAAATGTTTATATCAACCTTCTCTAGTTAGAGAATATAAATCCAGTGTAATTAGGAAATATATGGAAACTAACGAATGAAACTGTATCTGCAATTGAAGGTCATTCACTTTCATTTGAATGGCCCAGGACGTGCAGAGGTTGGGCATTGTCCTTTATCTATAACAAGAGCCATGTGTACTTGCAGGGCGGGTATTACGAAGTGGGATACGGCGTCGGTGGTGTGGGGGGAGTCGGGGGCGTCGGCGGAGTCGGCGGCGTGGGGGGTGCGCGCGAAGGTGGCTTCGGACTCGGCGCGGGCGAGCGATTCGGGCGCGCAGACGCAGCCTCGCCGCAGCAAGTGCCGGCAGCGCTACCACCCGGCTATGCTTACTTCTACCAACCACCCCCCACCACGTACCAATACAGCGTCTATCCTACGGTTAGTCAATTTGTAATATGTGAATGCAGAGACTATTTCGTCAGTGGATATAATCAATTACAAGTAAAGCAAATATTGCTTCGAGAAATTGGTGAATTACTGGTTTACTGAGCGTAAAAAAATCCACAAATTGCGAAGTTAATTGATTCTTCAAAAATATACTTTTCATTGACGTTATTATCTTTTTATAAATTATAAAATAACAATAATCAAACATGAACTACCGTGTGCTATCACCGACCGTTTCACCATTTATTATAAGGACATATGAATATGTTCGCTTTTATGTATTATTTACGTTTATATTGCGTGTGACAGTTTGAAAAAAGTTTTAGAAGACGTACAAGTCCAAGTCTACACTATATCAAAATCGATTCTTACCCGTGAACTGATTAGTTCACCTCGGTGGCACTTAATATTTCCCGTACTTTTTTTTTTATAATATCAAGTGTCGGGACGAACAAGTCGGACGCCTGGTGGTAAGCGACACGCCTATTCATAATAGTTGCAGTGCCATTCAGAGCTTTAAACAACAAAGATCTCAGGGACCCTGTCACTGCGCCTGTCACTCTGCGACATAAGTAGTGAAGTCCCATATGCCTGTAATTTCACCAGCTCCCTAACCCTTTCGTACAGGAAAGCGGTATTGCTCACATTACTAGTACTTCCTTGGACGAACTCTTTCACAAGGAGCAAAAATGTTCATTAATATGTGCTGTCCTCGCATCGAGTATATAAACAGAAATAGAGACAAAATAAAGGCCATATATTCCTGGTAACACATTAGCTATACAGCTCTTATAAATATCAACTCTCGTTTGCACTGAAATATAGGCAGGCCAACTACAGACCTGTGTGTACGTCTCCGTATATTCCAAAAAAATATTCTGTATTTATTGTAATAAATATAATGTCTCTAACAATGCCGTGCTGTTCTATTCGGTGGTGTGGGAAAAACAGCAAAACATCTTTTTACAAAACAAACGGAATCACATTTCATAGGTATTTAAATATTAAATATGTAATTTTACAATTTTCGTCCATTATAGCAAAGTTCAAGTTAACTGGTCGATTTGAAGTGAAACAGTTGACGACACCCGTCAATTGTTTCGAACTCGGGCTAGCCAATCGGAGCGCAGTTGTCACAGAATGATATGGCAGAATAGTTTTCAAACAAATTAAATGACATTTCGTCTCTATTATTGGTTATATACTCGATATATCCTCGTAACTCTAGTCGCTTGTTGGGAATTTCAGGAAATTCCAAATAAAAGAGACTTATGAAAATAAAAAAGGGACCACCGTGTAATGCCGAATATAAAAAGCTAGTTAATTTACAAAGAAATTGAGCTAAAGTTGACTTGTCTGCGTTTGCTATTGTGAAACCGTCAGACGCACAAATTTTGTTGTTATAATTATAATTTTCACTTCAACATTGCTAAAGAAAATGAATTGCTCGAACAGTACGGTGGCGGATCCAATGTCGGCGGCGTGGGCGGAGTGTCCGGCGGAGTGTCGGGAGGGGGCAAGCTCGGCACGTACGCGCCGCAGCAGCCGCCTTACGACGCGCAGGACTCCTACAAGCCAGGTGAGGCTTTTGCACTACGCTCTGGTGACACAACACTTATCTCACCCTTTCATATACGCCAGAGCGTAGTTGTGAGCTTACTATTTACTTGGACCAGTGACTAAAGAGGACTGCTGATCTCCATACTACGGATCATAACTATGAGAAATGTCAAAATTCCGTCTTACGTCATTTGGCGCTGATCAATAGCTTGGAAATACTTTGTGCACGGTAAATGGCCGTGGATATCAATTAATGAATTATTATAATATGTTTTGCGAATTATAATAAGTAATTTTTTCTCCTTGTAATGTTATTCAAATATTGATCATGTACTAAAATTATTTTCTGAACTGACAAATATACGTGTCGATAGATGGCATTGTGTGTTAAAAAACTAATTTATGAAATTCCTAATATTGGTAGATGGTGCTAATCCTAAACAAAATGAAAGAAGTATCCATAAGTTCAGTTTTCTTGTCGGTTTGGTTTCTGGTACAATAAACTTCTAATGTTTTTTTTATATTATACAACACTGACAATATTGTCACCTCATCAAATTGCGAAATTTTGACTAGATTTGATTGGTTTGGTACCAGCATTAATGCGAAATATCAATACTACGTCGCCGTCTTATGCGCGACGCGCGCACGCGCCCGCGCTCGTGACGTCACATTTTTATGTCATCGCGAGCGCCGGCGACCAATGACTGCTGTCGATGATTAAATGACAAAGATAGATACGCAATTTTATATCGTTGTCCTTGTGCTTCAAAATGTATAACAATAGTTCATTACTAAATAAGCAAACTTAGATTCATCAACGGAATTAAATATTGTCACAGGACGGTTTATCTTACATATTGTGCCATGCTACGGCCACTGTTTTTAGTCTATTTTGTCAGTTCTCCAAATAGTCTTAATTAGTTAGTTTTTGAATTTAATTACTTCATGATTGAAGATCGAAGTGTACTCAAATGGTGATGATCGCAGGTGGTCCGTACACGGGCAACGCGAGCAAATCGGCGGGCGGCGCGGCCGCGGACATCACCACAGCCATGTACGCGAAAACGCACGTCGCGCTTAACAAGGTCAACGTAAGTATACCTTCATTGTTTTTCTAATAGTCTATTTTTTGAAGACGGAGTAAAATGACAGTTCATTGTGCAAAAGTGTTGCCCGCTTACAAGCAGCTAGTGATTGCAGTTGATAAATATTCATTCGACACTGACTGAATATTGATCACGCTTATGGAATAAATAGCCGAACTTGTTTCATTTCAATCATCCTCGAACCATTTTTTATCCAATTACTGAGCACGAGCTCATTAAAATTGTCAATTATGATCAAATATGTATATATGAAATTACAAAAATTGACAATTATGAAAATATGTTTATGAAAAATACAAACAGGAGACGTATTTTAAAGTTTTTAATTTTAATTCAATATCAATAGTCAAATCCGGCTATTCCTGTTAAAATGATAATGAATAAAAATTAATCTCGATACTAGTAGGCTAACTATCAAAATAAAAATGGCAATATCGCAAGTAGTAATCATTAGAACGTGGTAACATTCACAATTCAGTCACTTTGGCAAAATATTATCTTTCACAATCTATCGATAAAACTATCGACATGACTATTTAAAATTTTGTGAAAACTGGCAACCCTACAAATGTAATTTCACTCCATCTTCAAAAAAAAAGAGAGATTAATGATTTGGCGAACCGGCTACAATTAGAAGTATTTAACAAACAGTTCCTAAATCCAGTATTAAGTGCGTATCTACTGAGATGTCATTCGGATCTAAATACAATCATCTGCAACTTGGATAATACCATCTATTAGGAATTAATCGCCATCATGAGGGCTAGCTAAAGTATCGTGTGACGTTTAAGGCGAAATTGTATCGTAATTGCGTAGGCTTTGTAGCGCGCGAGGTAGACTTTTTTTATGATACAAACTGACAAGACGAACAAGTCATGGACCTGGTGGTGACAACACGCCTGTCCACAGCAGTTGCAGTGACATTCAGAGCTTTAAATCGTAAAGATTTGAGGAGCACCGCCACTGCACCCATGTCACCATGAGACATAAGTTCATAAGTCCCATGATCAAATCTCAAACGTCACCGTACCCATGCTATGTGAAATGGATTATAAACGCGTAATTTTTGCATCGTTTCATCCACTACGTTTATCATTGAGTTTAATTTTTGTAATATTTCATGAATTCATCATTTAATGAAATTTGCAGAGCTACGAGAAGGCGGCGTTCCACAGCGGCACCCCGCCACCGTTCGGCGCTACCAGCCACATGTACATCCCCGCACCGCCACACCACCACCCGCAGCACCAGCAGCACCATCACCACGCACCGCAGCAGCATCAGGTACCTAACCACTCTTCAACAGACTTGTAAGAGAACATAAATGCTTTAAAAAATTTGAAATGATCGTTAATACGTTGGCAACTCTGATACCCCGAAAGTTTGATTTCACGCTGTACATTTTGTTGACACTAAATAAATCGCGCCTCTGGGGCCGATGCTTTATAGCACGGGGTAACTGGTCCAACGGATAAAAGGCCCTTTATGCATAAGTAGGTAGGTTTCTATAGTTTGTTTGTCGATAAGAACAATTTGTTTTCATTGCATGATATAGAAGTTTTAGATGATTTTGAATTTAATTTATTTATATTCTTAGAATTTGCTTTCGTTTGTAGATGGATGTACGGGTGAACAGTAGTCATAATAGGCGGGTAAGTTACGTATACACGTATTATATGTTTATTGCACTTACTGTTATGTTATTTGCACTATTCCGTTATATAGGGTGCCCTAAAAATTTAGAAATGGGATGACTTTGAGATCAGAAAGGAAAGGAAGTCCTTTCAATTTATAAAAATATAATAATGTATTTATTTCAAATTTTTGGATTACAGAACATTAAGAACTACACACAGGTTAATTATTTACTAGATATGTGATGCCAGACTCTCAATTCTTAAAATAAGGTAACCTGTGACATGAGTCTTGTGTTCCTCCATGTCTTAAGAAACTCATTCTAAGACAGGGCTCCAATAAAGTTAATTTTTACAATATTAAATATGATTTATATATCATCCCGATTTCTAGTGCACCTTGTGTAATAATCATGCCATTTATAAATATAATATTTATGTTGATGTATTATTTGTAATAATATAGTATTACCCGCCTTATTCTAAATAATATTGCATGTTTATTTTGTTGTGTTTTTATTTTGTGAATTCAAATTCAAACAATGGCGTCGAATATATCAAGCGCAAATTACATTTAAGTGAATGTTCTTCCGTTAGCAAAAATAAACTTGAGAATTATCATAACAATGTTAATGCCGTTCACGGGTATGGAATAGTCGACTTTGACTTAGCGTTTTTTAAGACGGAGTAAAATGACATTTTACAGGATTGCCGGGTTTCGTAAAAATTTATATAACGCTCGCACACTTATAGTTCCGCACTAGGGAAACCCTGTAATAGCTACGCTCTAGGGAAACCCTGTATCGCGGGTGCTACATGACAATCATAATTTTAATTTTTTTTTAATAACATCAAGTGACAGGACGAACAAGTCGTGCGCGTGATGGTAAGCTACACGCCTGTCCATAACAGTTACAGTGCCACTCAGAGCTTTAAATTGCAAAGATCTAAGGGGCACTACCACTGCGCCCGTCACCCTGAGACATAAGTTGACAAATCCCATGTGCCTGTAATTTCACCAACACCCTTACCCTTCAAAACCGGAACACAGTAATGCTGACATTACTGCTTGGCGGCAGAAATAGGTAAGGTGGCAGTGGCCTGGACGAACACTTTCACAACGAGCTCTACTGCTACTAAATCACACCCAAACTCATGAGAGAATAATTGTAAGCCATACAAATATCTCTGCCGGCTCGGGAATCGAACCTGGGACCTCTGCGTGACAGTCCAGCATGATAATATCCGGCGTTGTAACGATTAGAAATTACGTCATCGCCTTCTTTATTCTTATTTTGACCGTTGGCCAGTTTGATAGTTGGTAGTATCAATTCGTGCGGTGCAGACGTACGTTATTATTCTAACATAATGTTATTATCCTATTGTAGACAAGCGTATAACCAAATTACGTTCTTGTATCATCGGAAACATCTACCATCCAGATACATATAGGATGGACACTTAAACCAATATAGTCGTTAGTATATTTATCGTCTGCAATCACTAGCTGGTTGCAGGCGGGCAACACTTTGACGCAGTGAACTGGCATTTTTCTCCCATCTTCAGTAATAATGAGCTAAATCTAAAAAAAAAAAACCAAAAATTTGATCTTTTCGTACTGATAGCGGAATGATAGGTTTACATAAATAAGGTTATAAGTTAGTATGCTTTTGCGTAAATCAACGCCATAGTTACTTTGAATTTACATCGCTTTCTATGATTAGTTTTGTTAACGTATGATATAAAAGTCTGGCCAGTTAATTTGCCACTTCACCCTTAAAATTAATGTTCCTGTACCCAATGAGGAGGCTCGAATTTAACTGGTCAACTTGTATATTGAGGGGTACTTTTGTCACGCTCGCAAGAGCAACATGAATGTTAAATTATATTCAAGTTGTTTAATAATTTATCTATTAGTATTTTAACTATATATAATTTTCACGACTAGAAGATCGAATTCGGTGTGTAATCGAATACAGTAGGTAGCGCGGACTTCATAAATATCATTATGTTTATATCAGACTACTTTTTTTAATATAATATTATGGTTATTATTAAAAATAAGTCTGTCTTTTGACGTTCGCTATGGGGAGCTACCAAGTTATAATAAAAATAGTTTATTTTAATAGACGTGATTTTATATGTTGATATACATAGTGTAAAGAATAGAGGTGAAATGACAACTTCTGTTTGATAAATTGACACAATTAATTGATGCTTTTTGATAAGTTTAACTCATTAATATATCGTCGGGGATATTAGGCGTAACTAGCATTTGATTATGAGTTTTCATTTCGGTAATGTAGTTGCCCAACCAAATTAGCGTGGCTTAAGGGAATCTATTGTTATCAGTCTGTAGACAACATGAATAAATGCTTACTGTGCAAAAATGAAAGTCGTAACCCTTGAAATAACAAAATAGTAACGTTAAATCCCATACTACAATACTACATACCAATACTACACACGCAGATTTGCACTATGCCCGGCGATATGTTCTTGTATTTCGATTACAAGGAATCATGAAACTTAAAATGTATACAAATAACTGGTGTCACTTGGTCGGTGCCCATAGCATGTAATATATTTTTCGATTTAATTGACGTTGCTACACCGCGCTCCCCGCGGTCCTCTCTGTCGCCCTGTGGAGTTAACGGCGCGAACAAGTTCTTTAATATTGTAACTTATAAAACGAGTAACATGTAAGTCGACGAGCACACAAGAAGGTGGTTCTAATGGGAACCAAAGTGCTGTTCAGTGGAGCTAATGGCAATGTGTTGTTTGAAGGGCGAGAGCGGGTCCGGTGGCTCGCGCTCCTCAGCGGCCAAACCGGCAGCCAGCAAGGCCAACTACAACCAGTCTTACTGGACCCCTAACTAGCTGCCTAAACGGTGAGTATTAAAGGTCGACGCCTCAGTGACCTTTGAATATAGTAATGTGAAGTGTTGCAGTGCTGTTAGCACTGTGGCCGCTAGGTGAAGAGGTTCCAGCTTCGATTCCTTCTGGGTCCAATTTGGTAAACGAACTTTTGTATGTTTATTCTGGTCAGGGTGTTCTATGTGAATTTATTTCGCTTTGGTGTGCATTACAGGCAATTCACTGGTTTGAGAATAGGTAATTGGTTAGATGTCTGACAGTTAGTGTCCGTCAGGATGGCTGGACCAAACGAGATATACTAATATGTAAAAAATGCCTACTTTCTACTATTTAGTGACATATTTACCTTTATTGGCATATTTTATACCTTTGCGCTAACGGAAACATTAAAGAAATAAAGTGGCCAGCGATTCTGACGTCAGGTTGGCTGAGCAATTTACGTTTTTCATGACTTTTTTATATAATTAAACCTAATTTCTACCTAAACATACTTTTTCAATATTTTAGGAAGCAATAATAAAACTCCTTTGCAAAAGTTATCTTCTAAAAAGACAGTTTATTTTCTCCGTGTAATTGCTAATAATACTTTTGCAGGCACTTGGAATATGCCAACAATGGTTTCGGATTATTTTAGCAATATTTTATCAACAATTTTTATATTAATTACTAGTTGAATTCAGTGTTGGGCGTTAATCAATTAAATTTCAATCAGAAATTCAATCAGATTAAAAAATCAATTCAATTGAAATCAATTGCAATTGATTTCAATTGAATTGATTTTAATTGCAATTAAATTAATTGCAATTCATTTTTTTAGTTGTTCTAAGAAACAATAGACCTCCAACCGACCACCTAACCGACCTCCCAACAATTAATTAATTGTGAATCTTTAATTGCCAGAACAATTAAATTTTGCCCAACACTGGTTGAATTCACTATTACAAAATATGTAAATTCCATTTATTTCGTGTCGAATAAACGCGCCCTTAAGATGCACATTATGATTACATTTTTATGAAGATCGATTCAAGTGCACACGATCCAACGATTTTTTGTATTGATTTATTTCAATGCGATTTTTATGCTAATCGATTTAATAGAATGGGAAATCGAATCGTCTAGATCAGAAACCAATGCACATTTTTTAATAATTTATACCAATTGATGGGACGAACAAATCGTGCGCCTGGTGGTAAGCGACACGCCTGTCTATTACCGTTGCAGTGCCACTGCGCCTGTCACCCTGAGACATAAGTTGACAAGTCCCATGTGCCTGTAATTTCGCCAGCACCCTCACCTTTTAAAACCGTAACGCAGTAGTTCTCACATTACTGCTTGGCAGCAGAAACAGGTAAGGTGGCAATACTTCCCTGGACGAACTCTTTCACAAGGAGGTCTACCTGCTATTAAACCGCTAGCAAAATGTCAAAATGGGTTAGAATAAATATTATTCATTTCGAATATCCATTTAAGTTGAATATACCTCTGATTACAGGCACCCAACAACAGTCGCCAGACACATGTACATAGAACGGCGCTACGCCCCCTCAATATCAGTCAATTGTCGACTCGGACCAGCCGCGCTGGCGCCGCGACGGTCCCCACCGGGTGAAATTTCGTCATCATCAAAAGACTGAAGACCAGAAGGCACTTGAAGACTTCCCTTCATCATAACGTCATCATTTGTAAAGTTCCACTTAGCATTCCTTGTCCATTATAATTAACACTCAAGTTTATTAATAATTTAAAAACAAACGTAGCAAAAGTATAAGGGGACACAGTGAGCAAGTTTTGATGTCTATAATATAATATGAACATTGGAAACGGTGGATACAATCGATTTAATATGTATTTGCATGCTTACCTAATTATTCCGACGTTTCGGCTTAGTGGTACTGGCCGTGGTCACGGGCTGACTCTAGTCTAGATTTTATCGCATTTATCCCCGTTTCCAATGTTAATATGATACAAACGCGATTTTTTAAAACCATAGAAAGTAATGTACTGGCCTATAACAGTGGTTCGATCGCATTTCAGTTGTGACGATCGAACATTTTTGGCAAATATTTGGTATTTAAATTCGATGCAAAGCTTTTTTATTCCCTATGCAATATGAGCGCGGTTAACTATAAATTTAAACTAAATAAATTTGTACGGGGAACCAAGTTATTTTTCTCGAATTTAAAACCAACTGTTTTGCTTTGGTAGAACTTTTTTTATTACTTCTTCTATAGGCAACGTTTCATAGCTCTCGTGTGGGAGCACCACTAAAAAATAAGATAGTGTAGGCAACCCTTCGTTGGGACATTCTTACTGTAAGCTTGAATGTCATAAGTACACTCTTTGATTGTTTACTTACTGGCAATTGGTCGATAGTTTAACCCCATCACTAACTAAATCGACGAACTATCGTGACCTCGAAAATCACTTCTATATTATTGGTATTGTTGACCGAGTAGCAACCTGGAATATTTGGTAACGGTGTCGATATTATGGATAATGTGTCAAGTTTTCAAGGTTAACATTGCCACATCACAGTAGGTCCTTATGTCGATCAAGCGTTGAACAGTGAATGAACTAGGGTTTCTTTTATCGTTAGTTACATGAGCTCTCGTTACGCTGGTCTATTGTTCATAGAACTAATGGGTAAAATACGAGTCACTAGTTACTCCACTGGTTCAAAACTGTGAATAACCTTCCATTTTCGTAGACAATGTGTATAGTTCTCGCGTTCGTTGCTGGATCATGATATTAAAAACCTTCTAAGATAGGTGTTCCCTCTGCACTCCAGGTTTGCACCAGTGGTGGTACGATAATATAATATTGATACAGCTTAGTAATACCCATTGATAAGGTCTACTAAATTAAAACAATTTTGCTGTCGTATTGCCAGTGGTATTATCCAGTAGTACAACGCGAAACGCACCTCATTGGTCGAATTGTAATTATGCTTTTTCATTGGTGGATTAGATAAGTAAAAAAGTCGGTTGATTCTGTTTTTGACCGTATCACGTGAACATTTTTAACGAATTGTTTTTATGGCTTTTGCAATGTAGTTAAAATAATACTCCATTTAACGGCATATACGTTCATTAACACGCAGTCATTTTTTAACGTTTCGCTTTAAAGTTCAAGTGACGCGGCTAGTGTTTCGTACCAGAAATGATAGTAACGAAAAGGAAGTGTTTGTCCGTCTGTCAGTCAGTCTATTGCAGCTTATTTATAAAACATACGCAACAAGCTGGAATAAGCAATAATTTGATAAATGATTATTTCACTCGGGATTTTACTTTTTGATAACCAACGTTATTTTAATTGCTATAATATACTATACGACATAACGCTTGGACGTACACTGTCAATATAAAAAGTGCGTCGTTTAGTGCTAAGTTCGGAGTGTGTTTGACCTTTTCATATTGGCAGTATTAGTTAAGTAAGCGTAGTACGTCGAGCGAATTTGTTTAGTGGCCACATGGCCGGCTCACTCGTATAGTCGTGATGCATGAATGAGTGGGCCGGCCACATTTTTCGTGTATTCGGCATTCACAGCACGCGTACTCCTCGAATGCTCGAAGCATTCTCAGTTACCCAAAAGCAACGATCATTAAATAATATTTAAAAATTTCGGATGTTGCTCAGGGACCCTAGGCTTAATATATGTTACGTACATATGTGTAATCTGGGCGATGTTACAACGAATTATACGGATCTAATTGCAGAGTGTTGTCCTTTTTAAATGCTCCTCATACAACGCGACTTTTCGTATTAAGCAATTATGTAGTGTCGTGTGAGCATTCGGAAAAGATTGTACTTATTCACGTGATATTCTATCCCCCGTTGGAGCAGCGCCCCCCATTTAACGATATATTTGAAACAAACTGAAATACATACACAAGTCTTAGTGTACCTATTTTAATTAGTAACTGATTATTGTATAATAAAATGAAGAAATTGAACAGGAAAAACTGTTAAATAATGACTTTTTTTTTAAATTCCTAGTGTATCGCGAACCGCGGCGGCGGCGTGGAGATTTTTTACTAAAACAAAATAAAAATCATAGTAAAAATCGAGATTAAGCTTAGTATTAAAACATTTTGTCCTAAAGAAGGTTGTTGTACCGAGTTTAAGTTATCGCTCCGCGACCGACGCTGCATTTCTCATTGTTTAAGATATCGTTAGTTTAAAAAATTAATGTAGTGCTATGTATATCGTAACGTTTTTTATATAAATAATAATGAAATATGTATTTGTAAAAAATTATATTAAGAAAGTGTTTGGTACGCTATGCGCGCCGGATCTTTTTGTATTTAGTTGACAGACTTTGTAATTACATTATTATAATTGAAAATAAAAAGTCTAGGATCGTAGTATTGTAAACAATACCTTGAGGTCTTTTTTTATGTGAAAGAATGCTGATCTCGGGCAATTTCAAAGATGAGGGATTACACCTATTGGAACTTGCATAATCGTTTTAATTTGGTTCACCCTGCCTAGTTTATTTTGATTAGAACTTAAATAGGAAGTAACATGTCCCTAATCACTTCTAACTAAAAAATTGCGAAATGAGAACGGCCGCGCGGATAAAACCGTCATAAGTGGAGCCCCTCGTCACCTCATCATGAGTAAGTATTATGATAAGTATCATATTTATGCTCAATTTATATTGTAGTCAATTGAGTAACGAGCCAAAATTAGTATTATATATTATTTATTATTAGTAATTAGTATCTAGTTTGTATTGACCATAAAGTTCATTATGCTACGTACAATATCATTACAAAAACTCGTTTCCATTCCGTTACAGTCAAATATAAATTGAGCCTAAGTTGTGTGTACCTCATCTTCTCTGTCTAACAAATGACAACTGCAGCATTAACAGGAAATTAGAAAATAGTAAAGAATTTAACAATTATATGATGTTGGGGCGTTTACGGCCAATCATTTTAATTAAACCGGAGTTCCAGCTTTCCCTAGAATCGTTAGTACCATATCTTTCACTGAACACCGACCACATTTTTCTAACGTCGTCGTTCTTGAGCAAAGTCAAAGATTATTTATTCCATAGGTAAAATAAATTTACACTTGAAAACGTCACATTTAAGCTACTGCTCGTTCACTACGCTGACCTCCCTGAGAAGAACGAGCAAGAAACTCCAGGGATTGCTCTTTTCAAATAAACTTAAATGCTATGGAATACACTTTGAATCAAATTTGTGTGGATTCTGGAGCCATTATTACATATAGTTTCCTAACTTAATATGTGATTGTAACTTTATACATTTAACTTAGGGGATTCTAATGAACTGCTGAGTTCGCAAAGATCCACTGGGGGATTGGGCTAGGGGATCCTGGTGGACTCAACGTATGAATGTATGTACTTAAAAAAAACAAAATACACTTTCAAACATTTTATTAAAAAATAATTACAAAAATGGAATGTGACACATGTCCATAATCAACATTTATTTTTATTTTCTATAATTTGGACTCTAACATAAATTAACCAATATAAAACTGGATGGGAAGCTCGTATGCTGCGAGTACTGGTCATTGTTTCAGAAACACGACCGCTGAATAAAGCGGTACCTGCTTCGACCGCTTGAAGTTTACCATCGTGGCTGGCCGGCATGTCAAAATCAGTATTTCATACTCTACTGTTGGATGGAACTTATTTTTGAAGTGTGAAGTATTTCTTTATTGTCTTGGTTCGCAGTAGTTATCTTAGTACATAAAGAGATGTTATCCATAGCAGCATATTGATGGATCCTATCCGTAAAAGGAACCTGGCTGGCGTGACGACAGTTTACAAATGTACTGCAGCCGAGTTGTCGATGATCCAGTACAGAGATCCGCTTTCCGGATTTACGCGTCCGGCCGGCAAGTCTTCTTTGTCCTTTAGGATGCGCTGCAACAATGGTAATAAATCATTTAAATCTGAGAAGTCTGATTTGTACTAGATTTTAAAGAACTAGGTACTCAACTGACAGTTGATGTCAGGTTTGAAAATTAACTAACAACAACATACATACAAAAAAAGTCTAATTGAACCTCCTTTTTTGAAGTCGGTTTGAAAAATGGCGGGTTTTTATAATTAGTTTTTACACGATTTAGTTATTACGTTTTGAGTTTCGTAATTATTTGTAACCTTTTCAAGTTGATGGCTCTGTAACCAATGCTCAAAAAATAGATTGAAAATTAACCAGTCATCCAGCACCGATTTCAAAACACTCATGTCGAGTCAGTGTTAGACATTCCTGTGCTGGCTTCCCACGGCACGGGCCGCGCTGTTCGATTTCGCGCCAACGCGGCCGTCGGAAGAATGCCGTCCGTGCCGTCGCGGTCGTATGGGCCTGTAGCACGAGCTCGCCCGTACAAATCAGTACGGAAGGGGCGACGCGCCCGTGGCATCGCAGGTCGTGGGAAGCCGCCTTCAAACATTGAGAATTTTGAATAGAAAAGCATTTTGTTTTGTTGTACGAGGTCAAGAGCACGTCACTTTAATATTCTAATTTAAATGCATTTTTGTTGTATTGTATGACGAGATTAGTTTTTTTTTAAATTAGTAAAACCCTGATCTTTCTACTAAGGCTGCAGGTAGTAACCCGGGAAAGCAGTGCCTATATTAGTACTAATACGGCCATCAAAGGAAGTTCAACTCAATAAGAACCGTCCAATTTCCCAAGGTGTCAAACTTGATGTGCTCTTTAGTGTACGAGTTTCATTTTTTAAATCATCAGATAATTCAAATATAGTACATCATTGCACAACCTGCATTAATTCTACACCAAAGGCTTGACTTATAAACCTAAACTACTAAGGTAAACTATTAATTGTAGCAGTGAACTGATGAGCGAGAATTTATTTCAATAAATAATACATAAAGGTGCTTTTCCACCGGCGAGGCAAGACGAGACGAGGATTGAAATTTGTATGGCAACTAGCGCAATTTCGGTGGAAATCGTCTGGATTGCCGAGGATAGGCGAGGCGAGGATTTATAAATATGTTGATGGAATATTAAACCATATTTCTGCCTATATAAAGTATTTATTAAGTCTGCAACGGATGATTTATCGCGCGATATAGTGAGACACCACGATCTTAAGATTTTATAAAAAGATGTCTTCATTTGATTCTTCTTCCATTAACATATTTAATAATAATAATTTACGGGACATGTTACTTCAGCCGCGATATCGCTAGACGAACTGAACAGCACTGAATCTTCACTGTCCATAACCAGAGCACCCTTAGAAGTAGGCGACACATCGATAGACATTAGATCAAGCTCTGGAAGTTTAGCATAGAATAGTCCAAAGCTTGGTCTTCAGAAAGTAGTATTGTGCTTGGGCAACTGATCTCGTTTTGAGCTCAAGGGCAACAAAAATTTAATTATATTACACTTACTTTGACCATATCTGCTTTTCCGGCACCACTTATGGCAAAAATACAATTCCGTGCATTGTTTATAACTGGAAATGTTATAGTTATTCTCTCTGGAGGAGGTTTAGGGGAGTCTGTAATAGCAGCAACTGGAGTATCAGTTTCATTTAGTAATGGATGACCAGGGAACAATGAACACGTGTGGCCATCTGGTCCCATACCCAAGAGTAACAGGTCAAACTTGAATGTGTCATTGTGGAAATGTTTTCTGAGTTTCTCTATGTAA